GAGGTGAAGGGGAGAAACAAACACCATAGCAAGGCTTGGGCCAGAAAGTTGCAAGGTTTGCAAGTGAAATGCGACGCTATTTACACTAATCTATCCTTAACTGCTACTTTGTCACAATGGTCAGAATAATTATTAGAAAATAACCAGAGGGAACAAAGGCAGGTTTTCTTCTTATCGCCTCCCGTTTTCCACTTTTCTCTTCCCCTAATTATTTTTTCCCGCTGAAACAGACCTTTCGAAACTGCAAATTGTAAAAAATGTACAAACTATTTAAAAAATATTATTAGTCTGCCTGCTTTTGCCAGGAGCTCAGAAGGCTGGCTTTGCATTAAGAAGAAGAAGGAAAAAAAGAGCCATTTCGCTGCACGACCCTTGACATGTAAATAATCAAACTAATTGCATTTTGATTTTACCTATTAACCATTCTCCTATATTTCCCAAACAATATTGCAGCGTGGGAGTTTTGCAGGGACTTGCATTCTTTACTCCGGTCACACTCTGTGCGCTATTGTGGTGTGATTTTTGCCTGGTCATTGTGTGCTATGTATATTTCCACTTGCCTCCTCTGGAAACAAATACATATTAATTATATGCATGTTAATATATACAATATATGCATCTATATTCCTCTCGAGAGAATTTTATACCCCATGTTTATATGAGGATAATTTGCTTCTTCGTGAATTAAATTTATCACGAAAATGCACACTGAATCTATTTATTTATTAAGTTTCTGATTTTAAAATGTTATTTTCAGAGTGATTAAACACATATGCTCGCAGATATATGCCTAGAATCCGTTTCATCAAAACAGGAAAGAAGCCATACAAAGTACATTGTTATCGCAATCAGGTGTTTTGTCTATCACATTTCTGTAAAAAACGGAGACAATTGCTCTTCTAAAGACTAGTTTGCGTTATAGCAAGGGAATTAATTTATTTCGTGTTTATGCTGACGGACCAATTTCAATACCTACTCAACCCATTTCAAAACAATTTTTGAAGCCTTGCCAATGGCTGAAGTGTTTTCTCGCACCGTCCTCTCACGACTTACGTATGGTTTATTGACACTAATAGGATTCAAATGAAAAACTGTCCGGCAATTTTTCCTTTCTTTTGGTCTTTCATTTGGAATTATTCCTTCCAAATAATGTATATCCTCCGATTGCTTGCCGATGTAGATGTCAGTGTTGTCCATTCACACCCAAGAAACAACCCAGCAGTTACTTGTTTTATTTCTCCCACTTGAATCGAGCGGATGAAGTTGCTTTTATTCCACCGAGTCTTCCCTTCTGCGAAGGGCAGGTGCTGCTCGCAGGTGCTCCGAGGAGGTGCCACGGGTGGGGGGCTCAGGGGCATCGTGCCCTCTTGCCGGGGAGCTCGGGGCTGTAGCACCCCGCGCAGAGGAGGCTCCGCTGGCCAGGGGACCCTGCCACGTCCCCTCGCCCCCGGCTGCAGGGTCCCCGCCGCGTCGCCTCGAGAGCCCCTGCCCGGCCGGCGCACCCAGCATCTCCCCCTCGTCCCGGGCCGGGGCCTCCTCACCGCCCAAACTCCGCGCAAATCTTTACAGAGATCCCCCGCAGCCCCGATTTACTCCCCGCTTGTATTTAATGACGCTAAATGAGCCGTTTTCGCTGCCCCGCACGTGGCCGGTCGGAGGTAATTTGCCGAACAGGAAAAGACGAAGTTCCCCTATAAATTGAGGTGTTCGTCGGAGCCTGGAACCTGAAGCCTGGCGGGGTCCCGCTTTGCCTCTGTCCCGGACGCGGGGCTAAGACACCATCTCTGACAGGAGCAAAAGCCCCGCACCGCACCGCACCGCACCGCCCGGTCCTTCCCTTCTAGCACAGAGCGACCGGTCCGGCTGGAAGGAGACGCTCGCAAGCTCCTCTCTACACATTGCGGGGCGGGGGGATGCACCCTCTTCTCGTGGATCCCATTTTTAGCTTATATTTGCCCTCTGGCTGGGGGTTCCCTGAGCACAGAGTTAGAACAGCAGCAGCAGCAGGGCAGCTAGGAGCGGAGCGTAAAACGGGACTCTTCGCCCTGCTGTTGATTTCCAAGTCTTAAAACTGATCACAGAATGTGCGTGCTTTGCGCCGGGGACCCGCGTTTTTAACATGAGCTACATCCCTGTGTTGTCAGTGGCTCGTTCCCCACCGCAGACACCATTTGCCTACGAGAAGAAAGGGGAGGAATACAATCTTGATGGCGAGTGGCGAAAGGGCACACGCTGCATTCGTGACAGGCTCTGCTCCTTATCTCTGAGAGGTTTGGAGCCGCGTCGGTCCGCTTAAACCCTTTTATTACCCACGCCCCAAATATTTCCATTACACACGGTCTGTGCTCCTCAGCTGATATGTGAAACTTGCTGCCTTATCGCTGTCAGTCGATTGATATTTTCCGTGTATAAGCCCAAGGCATTAAATCAATGTCTCCACTCTGCAATGGCATATTCTCTATAGACTAGTCTGTGGGAGACAAGTGAAGTCCTGCTGAAAATTGGCTTCGTCCTGTCTCGATTCTCACGAAGCTCCTCTTGGCAGAAGAAGCGGGCTTTAAATAGGATCCGCCTGCCCAGACCCGGTGTCGAGCAGCCCCGAGCTGCCCCTGGCTGCGGGGGGTCTGTTGATGTTTGCCGTTTCGGGACATTCAGAAGCGAAGGTGCCACACAGTCGGGCCATGGGGTAACCGGCCGCACACGGCGACCGGGACAGACCCAGCTCCCCCCCAGCCGCAGGACTCGCTCTCGGCAGCCGGGGGAGGACCTGCGGTGAACGCCCGCCCGACCAGGAGCACCCGCCCGGCGCGGCGCGGAGACAGCCCCGCGTCACCCCGAGAGCCGTGCGGCATCTCCGAGCGGGATCGCTGCGGATCCGGCCACGTTTGCAAAGCGGAGGGGCTCTCCCAAGATTCTTTTTTCCCTCCCGTTTTTAGCTGGGTACTAGTGCTGGAGGAATGCAGTGAGATTTCTGGGACGGTGGCTTGGCTTTTCTTTTCTAAGCCGAACCTTAATTTAGTTTGTCGCCTCTGTCCCTAACCCGTCAGGGGGCAATTATGTGATAATGACAAGAATTACACAGTTCTTTTATCTGGCGGCCGTGCACGAACAGGGCTCGGCACAGCGAAATCCGTTCACACTTAAACTCCCCTCCCCCGACAAAGTCTATTGCTGGGGACCAGAACTCTCCAGCGCAGCTGCCGGTGTCGTTCCGACGGAAGGTTCCGAGCCGGAACTGCAAAGCGGGATCTGGGCCTTTCCAGCGGCCGTGGAGCCGCCCTGGGGATGCTCCCCGTGGGCGTCGTTCCGTCCGGCGGAGAAGCGCCGAGCCCGGCTGCCGCCGCCCCGGCAGCCCTGGCCGCAAAACACCCAGGAGCTTGCATCGCCTCGGGTGGCTTTTTCCTGCCCTCCCTCAACATATCACAGAACCGTGAATTAGGGAAAAAAATAAATTAAAGTAGAATAAAGGACATTACCACACACTCAGCTTCACAGGCCGGTGGCATCGCAGCGCCCCACAAGCGTACCCTGCGGGAGCGTTCCCCTCCTTCCCTCTGCACAAGCCTGGCCGTACAAATCTTTCCTCTCCACATCCACGCTTAAGCACTACGTTTTGATTTTCTTGCACACGGCTTCGTCCTCCATAACCCGCCCCAGAAATTTTGTAAGAAAATAGCAGAAGTATTTCATTGATAACATTTGATTTATTTAAAGTCCTTAACTGCAAATGATCAAAAACATACTTCACGCATTAAATCCTCAGTTATCGTTTTAAATCAAAATATTTTTTTCAATTACAATCACATTTATAAAATTAACAAAATTTCTTAAATTCACGTGTAATTATTTTTTACGGTCATTTAAAGCAATTTCCAGCTGTAAAGAAAGAAAACAATATAAACCATGCAATAAATTAAGAACATTGAAACAGCGAACAGGAATAATAATAAAACCCGTCTGGCTATGCTAACACCGTGTAAAACTGTGGAAAGTGCAATAACACTGGATGAAATAAGCTAACGATGGCGATAATTAAATGGCCACAAAAAATTTATTAGACAAGTTTGAAAAGCGGGGAGAGACAGAGCTGTCCTCTTTTCCTTGCATCAGTGTAGTAGTCAATGTTTCCTAGGGAAGGGGGGAAATAACCTGGTTATAGATACACAGTTCTAACTGGTACACAATGGATACACTTAAATTAAATAAGTATGGCATCCACATGTTGATGAGAGTTCCTGATGAACTAGAATCTTCAGTAACAGATGGGAAGGGAAAAAAAAATCCAACTGGCTGTGACCTTTTGTAACTTTATATTACATCCCAAAACAGGTAACACTTGGAAAAAGATAAGGGTCGCATCCTGCACTCCAAAGCTCCAGTTGGTCCCCTCGGGAGTGCAGGGTCCGGCCCGCAGCATCTGGGTTCTATGTGGGTTGTAGTAGCCGAAGGTTTATTTTGCAAGTATCAAAAGGATGATCCGAGAAAGTAAATAGTTCTCTTGTTGCTTAGAGATTCTCTTAGTGTTTTGCTACTTCACAGCAGTATTGTCCTTCAAAGCCTTTTTAATTAAAAAAAAGTCTTAAATGTCTACTCGCTTCTTCATCTCCATATTGTTAAAGTATTGCCACATACCTGTAAACTTACATGAGATTATAGAACACATAAGGGAGGGAGACGAGGGGGCGGAAAGCACAAACAAGTAGTTTACACGCTCAACATTTTTTTCTTCTTTTTAATAACACCCTGCATAAGCTGGGGAGGTCTCCGGGGAGAGGGGCTGGGCGGCAGGGGCCGGAGGGAGTATGTACAAGCGGGACGCGGCCGGCTTGGCAGGAGGTCGTGGTGGATCGTAACAACGCACAACGCGTTGCGAGACAATTAAAAAGTAACAGTCCTTTGCACGCAGCGTGCGGAAACGCCTTGGTCTGTCTCAGGGAAAGCGGGGAGAGAAGCCAGGGAGGGGAGGAGGGGTCTCGGCCCCAGCGGCGGGGGTTGCACAGCTAGGAGGTGTTTAGCACGGGTCTGGAATACACACCTTGGTAGTAGGAGGGCTCTAGGGCCGAGGGCTCGATGCTGCTCCGGCCGGCCATGGAGGCGCTGCCAAGGGGCAGCCCGCCGGGGATGCTGGCCCCGTAAGAGGAATATTGCAGAGCCTGCTCGTAGGCTTTGAAGTCCAGCTTGTGCTGCTGCTCCGAGGAGGACATGAGATTGTTGATGGAAAAGGGGTGGTTGAAGGAGTAGTGGGGATCACCCTTGAGGTGGAGCTGGGGTTCGTGGGCTAATGAGTGAGGGGGGTGTGGGACGGAGGCCAAGGTGGGCACAGAGCTGATGGTGGAGGAGGCGGCCGAGGCCGAGGTCTTTAGCTCCGTGCTTGATCCACTGTGGTCCATAGACTGAGGGCTGGTGGACGGGTTGGAGCTGGAGAGAGAGGTGGCCGTATCCAGCTGCGCAGGTTTGTTGTGGCCTCTGTGCAGGGGGGAGTTGGAGCTTGAATTAGAGGCCCCGGCCTGATCTTTCCTGCCCTCCTGAGTGGCTTTACTGTTCGCCGGCTTCTCGCATTTGAAGCGCTTTTGCCGGCGGAGGTAACAGCCGTTCTCAAACATGTTGCCGGAGTCGGGGTGCAGGGTCCAATAGGAGCCCTTGCCGGGCTTGTCGGGGGACCGGGCCACCTTGACGAAACAGTCATTGAAAGAGAGCGAGTGGCGGATGCTGTTCTGCCAGCGCTGCTGGTTCTGTCGGTAGTAGGGGAAAAGGTCCATGATCCACTGGTAGATCTCGCTCAGCGTCAGCATCTTGCTGGGTGCCTGCTGGATGGCCATGGTGATGAGGGAGATGTAGGAGTAGGGCGGCTTGGCGTGGGGGTAGGTCCGCTTGAAGGACTTAGCGTCCCGCGTCCTGCCGAGGTTGGACTGGGTGTAGGCCATGGGGCTCATGCAGGGGTTCATGCCGCCGTAGGGGCTCAGCCCGTTCATGGGGGCCGGCTGCGCAGACATGGCGTTGATGCCCCCGGGGCTCAGCGCCGTGCCCATGGCGGCCACGCCGGCCGGCATGCCGTTCACGGGCCCCGCCGAGCCTGCCGGCATGCCGGCCACGGCGCCGGGACTCAGCCCAGCCCCCAGCCCCGTGTTGGCGTAGGACATGTTGAAGGAGCTGGAGGTCATGTTGCCGCTGGTCGTCATGGTGTTCATGGTCATGTAAGTGTTCATGGTGTTCATGGAGCCCAGCCCCGAGTTCATGTTGCTCACGGGCACCGAGGAATAGGCCTAGGGCAGCGAGACAAAGAGACGGAGTTAGAGAGGAGAGAGGTGTGGCAGGACCCCGTAGGGGCCGGATCCGCCCGTCTGGCCCAGCCAGCCGTGCGAACGTCCTGCTGCGGGACGCCGGCCGCTTCCCCGACACCAGGGAAAAAGCTTCCCCGAAGCCGCACGGAAAGGCAGCTGCTTCCATGAAAAGCCTATTTCATATCTCTATACATTTATAAACAAACACGGAGCGGAGGCGCTCTCTCCGGACGCGCTGCCGGTTACCGGCGTGTCGCAGCTTGCGCGGGCTGCGCCGGGACCAGCGGGGCGCACGGACCGACCGCCTTCCCCGAGCCGCTCCAAGCCCTCGCGGAGCCGGGCTGCGGGCTCACACTGCCCCGGCACGACGTGTTCTCCCCGGCGCGTTCCCGCTTTTTGTTTTTATGTATCCTGTCTCGCTAGTTAAATACCTAAACTCATCAGAGTACTGAAATTGGTGGGCATAGACTGTTTGCGCTAAGGAGAAAGACTGCTTGTATTTTCTGAGAAAAATCTCACGCATGTCTCCCTTCCCGCAATAATTTAAATTTATTTTCTAAGAAACATACAAGATGTAATAATGTCTCGTTGCAAAATAATTTTAAAAACCGCCACCCAAACCAAACAGGTCTTGTTGGCCTGTTTTATCTGTAGAAAGCTTCCGCCGTCTACATTTTCTATCAAAACAGTCTTTAAATTAAAGTTAAAAAAAAAATCAATCAACCAACCAATCAAACACCAAAACTATCCCAAAGTATGAAAAGCTTGAACTCCTCCTCTCTGAGATATTCTACAATTGCACAACGTGGAAAAAAATTGAAGCACCCTAACACATAATACAACTCTTAAAAAAGGCACAGCCGGAGAGCTTGAATTTGTGCTTTCCACTATGACATCTGATTTAACAGCAGAGAGAAAGACGTCTCCAGTTTACTCGAACTACTGCTAATATGGCTAAGAAAAGGAGGTTTAAGCAACGGTTAAATATTTAAAACTCATTTCTGATCCCCACAAATTTCACGAACTTATAAACGCACTTTTGATTTAGAGGATCACGTTAATTATTTGACATGGTAGAGCGCGGCTGGGTTTCCCACGTTGCATTCTTGCAGTTATTCAAATTAAATGGCAAGAGGTGAGGAAAGATTGAAGTTTAAAAAAATAGTAAAAGCGAAGTTCCCTTAACTTTATGTTTGTGGACAGTGCTTATAAGCGAGGAAAAATGAGTCTGGAAACTGCACATAATTAGGATGACCCTTGTTTGCCCTTAGCCGACTTTCCTTTATTAAAGGAGATGCCAGCCGGGTGACACGTATCTGCCTCTGTCCGCGTGGCCCTTGGGCGCGTGTGCCAGCCCCGGGTGCGGGACGAGGCGTGGGGACTGCGGAGCGGTGTGTCCGGGTGTGCTGATGCAATGCCCGGGTGCGCACACCCAGGTGCTGCCTCGCTGCCGCACTTCCTCAAAACGGCTCCTTCCAGGGCGGGAATCCGCGGCGCGGCTGCCCGTGCTGCCGGGCGCTGGCTTCTCCGGGACCCCCGTGGCAGAGCCTCAGCGGCACAGCGCGGAGCCCAGGCCCCACAGGGCCGAGGGGCCCCGAGGTTAGGCTCCGGGCTCTGCCGCGGCCCTCTCCTCCGCCGCAGCCGCGGGCGCTTGGGCCGGTTCTCCTCCACCTTATGGACGGCGCTGTCAAACGGGCGCGGGGGGCGGAAGCGCCCGCCGCGGTCCGGACCGGTCCGGGCGGGGGGCGGCGGGCCCGGTGCGGGCCCCCTCCCGGCCCGGCTCTCGGCAGCGCCGCCAGCCGGCCCACGGCAGCAGCGCACGCCTTGGGCAGCCCGTCCGCAAAGTACGGACAAACGGCTGCTCTTCCCCCCTGCTTTCCTTTCGCCCGGCCTTAACAGGTGAGGGCCCGCTGCTGGCGAGTCGAGAGGCCGGGGGTCCCGCCGAGAAGCTCGGGGAAGGCGCTGCCCCCGACCAGGACGCGCTGGCGTCCGTCTCCTTCGGCCCCTGCCATCTGCCGGGAAGGCGGCGGGTGCCGGCGGCGCGGCGAGCGCTCTGCCCCGAGCCAAGAGTTTACGGGGTGCTTTTGTGCCCGCCGCCAGAGAAGATTACGCCTCTTAGATGAGATCAAGGGCTGCCCCCGGCCCCCCGGCCCTCCTGGAGGGCTCGCAGCCGCCCCGAGTCTTCCCCAAACGCCTCCAGGGCTCCTGGAAGCTATGTTTTCCTTGGGGAAGCCAAGCCAGTTTCGGCGCCGGAGGGAGGGGGAGGTACGTTTGCGTTGGCAGGATCTGGACTGCAAACCGATTCCTCCGATTGCTGCCCCCTCCAGACCCCTAGCCACCCCCAGGTCGTCCCCTCCCCTGCACAGGGGCAGCAGCGAAGCCAGACCCTGGGATTTACTCACCTCCTGAGTGTCGGCGTAGTAGCTGTTCCAGTCGCTGGTTTCATGCCCTTCCATTTTCACAGTCCCTAACATTATGGAGCCAACCTGCCCGGTGTAACCATCCAGCCTTCTTGCAAGCGAGCGACGGGCCGCAGGAAAAGAGCCCGAAAGCCCGACCTAGCAGGAAGCCAGCTCTCAGGAGGGGCGGGGGGTGCTGAATTCTGCTCTATAACCAGCCAAAAAGGAGGCAGGGAGCGGTGTGGGGCGAGACAGTTGAGAAAGTGAGGAAGTGCGGCTGGGATGTGAGTGGAGTTGAGCTGATGTGGATCTTACGTCGCAGAAGTACCCACCTCCTCCTCCTCCTCTCCCCATTTGTCCGCCGCACAAAGGCGTTCGCACCTACAAAGCCGGAGATGCACCTGCAAACAAGGCAGTCCCCCTCGCCTGCAACTCCCCCCGGGCGGCACTTTATTTGCAAAGCTGCGTAATTGGTTTAAGCTTGTGGGGAAAGAAGGAGAGACAGAGGTGGGAGAGGGGGACAGAGGGGGGCGGGGGGCGGGACGGGACGGGATGGGACGGGGGACGGGCACGACCACCCTTTCAGGTGGACAGGACAAATGCTAGGAGGGATAGGGGGAAATAAAATGAGGCAGATGAAGGAAGGGCAGCCCCTTCTATTTGAAGAGAACGCAAAAGGCCATCCAGCCTTAAACCCCTGAGATTAGAGGCAATATTTACTAAAGGCCGGTAGATGCTCCTTTAACTTGATGGCCGGGACGTGCTTCAAAGTCCCGAGTCCTGAAGTCCGCAGGTTCCTTCCTCTCCCGGCCGTCATTCCACAGCTGGTTCCCGCTGTGAAGGGTCCCTCCAGGCCCTGCCGCAGTGCCCCACGTTCCCATGGCCCTCGGGGCAGGGGATCGGGTTGGGCGCTCCGGGCTGCGAGAAGGAGGCTCGGCTCCGCGATCCCCAAAGCCCTCCCAACCCTCCTCCCACCACAACCCCCCCTTCCTCCGGGGTAAAATAGCCCTTCAAAGGGGGTCCTATGTTGATGGTGATAATGATATTGCTTTTTCGGATGCCTTATGTTCAGAAACCATGCGGGTCACCGTGTTGAGGCATAATACTACGGGTTCCCAATAAATACGGACAGAGGCCTGAATGCGGATCCACTGATATTAACCTCCACTTGGCAAACATCAGGTGAGGCACTTGAACCATTTTATATCTTTACTGTAGAAAGCCTTCAGCCCAGAAGGCTCATTTGGAAGCTTTCTCTGATGCCAGAAGCCCAGGAGCAGCAATAATAGGTAGCGAGTATCTAATTTCCAACTTCTTGCTTATTGACCTGATTTCTCACAACGAACAGGGGAGGAGGATTCTACACAGGCTGGTAAAAGGTAAAAAACACCGATAAAACAAACTGACATTGGAAAAAGCTTTTTATTATTATGGAAGGAATCTCTCAGTCTTTGCAGAGGGATCAAACATTTTCTGTCCTGTCCGGCTCTTCGAGCCTATGTCAACACCACGGACTTTTCTTAGGTTTCTCTATCCTATCCCTTGTGAGTTCGTTCCACCTAGCTACTAGAACTTTTATCACCTGATACTAGAAAACAAAAACTAAAAAGTCAAAACAAAACAAAACAAAAAGTCTACATCACCAACCAGCAGCTAATAACCCTTCCCCCCCCCCCAAACCCAAACAACTTTTCCAAGAGTGGGAATTTGAAGGGGAAATAAAGCTTCTTGGGATTTTGAAAAAGGCTTGCACATCATACCACACAAACTATAATACACAAACTATAATACACTCCTGGGTATGAATTTCAGCTTGACGTGTTTATCCTTCAGCATGGCCACAGTTGCTTCCACCGTGATTTGTTCTCGAGTGATCTGTGGAAATGTCACCCCCACAAACAGGATTTTAAAGTTTCTTATAGAGGCACAGAATTCAAATGACGAGATACAGCATATCTCTGCCACGACAAATATGTTTTAACTTGTTATCTAAATGCATTTTCTGTTACCCCTTTCTTTGTTCTTTCTCTCCTTTTTTATTTTTTATTTTTTATTTTTTAATTTTTTTATTTTTTTATCTGGCAACAGAATCAAGTCAAATCCTCGAAACAAACAAAACTCTGGAATCAGCAGAGGAGAACAACAAATGACAATATATCTTGAAGGAAATAAAAGATATAAAAGCACTGGATTAAACCCCTGCTTTCTCAAATGGTCAAATTACACCCATGGAAATTGGGACAAACCCCAGTGGAATATCTAAGAAATATTAGAATGATGTATGCATCCTTCCTCTTTTCGTAATGGAAGCGGTGTATATGTCTGAAAACAGGGACCCTTCGGTGGCGGCTTGCCCATTTCAGTGTTTGAGGTGTGTGGAGTACGGTTCCCCCCTGGCAGCCCAGCCGCATGCGGGGATGCTGGCAGCAGTGCAGCTGCCCCACAGACCCCGCTGCCGGCACCCCCCCGCTGGGTGACCTCGGGGCGGTGCTGCCTCGCTTTCCAGGGCCCAGCCCCGCGGGAGCAACACCCGACGGGACGCCGGGCAGCCCATGCTGGGTCACTCCGTACCTGGAAAAAAGGGCAGGCACTAAGCTGGCCACGCTCATCGGATGCTGCTACAAACCACGGAGGCGTTTCACCGGGCGGAGCAAACGTGGAGCCGGCAAAGCCGCCCTGCGGGCCGGCCGCCCCCAGGCCGCCCCGGCTGGGATGCCCGCGGCCCGGGAGGGGAGGGGAGCTGCGGCTTGTGCAAAGCCTCAGCGCCTCCTGTTGTCCGGCTGCGGGCTTAGCTCCCTCCCGAGGTTGCTCCCAGAGGTGAGAGCACAGGCAGGATCTTCTCTTAATCTGCTTAGAGCCTCTCGATTTGATGTATAATAAGCAAGCCCTAGTCAGAGCCAGCCGCTGCTGGAAATTCTCTTCGGTCCGGTTGCTGTGGTGCAGCCCTGGTGGAGAAAATCCTCCCTTAAGTCCAGAAGAGGGTCAGGACGCCTCTGCCCACAGCCACAGGAAAAAGCGGGTATTTTGGCAGTTGCCCTTGCCCTGTACTTGAGCTTTTATGTGGTGAAGCCCTATGTAGGATGCTCTGCGAGTCCAGCGGGATTTATCAGTATCCTTTGCAGCAGGCTCAGCAGAGAAGCACTCTCCTAGGATGCGGGATGCTGTGTAGTAGCCAGGAGCTCTCCAGTCGCGCCTAGCTTATGGGGTTTTCAGGAGTCAGGTTAGTAGCACTGCCCCTTATTACACAGCACCTTTCCCCAGCTCTCGTTCCAGTAGCATCAGTTTCTGTACAGTTTTTGTTTGTTTGTTTCTTCTTTTTTTCTTTCTTTGGTTTTTAAATTTTTTTTTTTCAGGACGAGCTTTTAGTGCAACCTGGAGAAAGTGCAGGCTGAGGTGAGCTTTACCCGGCTAGATGGGATCAGGGTCTCAGCTCATTGCTCCACGAGTGCGCTCTGCCAACGGTGCAAACATAGAACCTGACCTAAAAAATACGGAAATATGTTTGTGGAGCGAGGGCAGGACTTCCAGCGGAGACCGTGTTACCAGCACTGTCAGGAAGAGCTGGGCCCCGCAAAGGCCGCTCAGCAAGCGTCTGAGTTTTGGGAATCGCCTTCTGGCCCCTGGGAAGGGGCTTCCCGCTGCTGCTGGAGGAGCGGAGCCGGCCCCGGCTCGGCGCTGCCCACGGGCCGGAGCTCCGTGGGGCCCAGCGCCGCCCGGGAGCGCCGCCCGCAGGCTCTCTCCCTCGCGTGGGCCCGTGCAAGCGGCGGGAGCTTTAATTTTAACGCGGAGCGCTGTTTCAGTTCGTTCCGGTTTAAGTTCCCCCTGGCAGCAGCAGCATCTGTCGGCCCTTCGCTTTGACTTGCAGGGGCTTTCTCTATTTTATCCAAATTACCATCGTCTTTTGAACGAGATTCCCTCGGCAGTGCTTGCGCGGGCCAGGCGTTTAGCTCGGGAAGGAGCTGTGAGGTTATCTCCGCATCGGTATGCATTCCCTGCCCTGTCCTTACATCCTTCTTTTCCTTTGCCTGGATCTGTCTCCTGCAGAGGCTTCCTCACACCTGGCTCTCCAGACTGGCCCAAGACTGTACAGCGGGTCCCCGAAAAAACCGTGGGACCCCAGCCTCCCCCACGATGGGAAGTCTGTCTTCCCGTCTGTTTCCAACCTGAAATCCCACCCCATTCAAGCGGGCAAACAGTGACCGTCTGGGAGCGTGCCGGGAGGGATCGTGGGTGCTCCGGGTGCGAGGGTAGGTGACTGCCGGCAGCGCCTCTCCTTCTGCGGGAGCCCGCAGAGAAGGCGTCCGATCGGGGGGCTGTTTTCCCTCCCTGCCTCCGCCCCTCACACAGGCACGGCTGCCCCGGTTCTACGCTCCTGTGGCTGAGGTCTTATTGAGAAGAGCCCGTGAGGGTCCCCCAGACGGCCGGAAGAGCTCCCGTCGGGGCGGTCGCTCCCGCGTCCCTGCCCCCGGAGCTCAGGGGCGAGCAGGCGGCTTTTCACCCTCCTCTCGCTGGGGAGCAGGGCCCGGGCAGAGAGGGCACTGCATGGGGTCATCATTTGCTTCTGAGCTTTTGCTAAGTGAGAATATTCTTCCAATCTTCGACCGTGACGATCAAGTGTCCTCCTTCTTGCGGCCGGCCCAAGGTAGGGCACCCCTTTTCCTACAGCCCCTCTTGCTCCCCAGGAGCCGTGCTCTGGTTCTCCAGGGCGGGCTAGACGTGCCCTCCCCGCCGCACCATCCACAGCAGGAAGGGCCGGGCGTCTCACCCCCTCGGCCGGGCCCTGCCCGCTGCCCGGCCCTCGGCCGCGCCTTTCCAGCCCCCTGGGCCGCTGGGCGCAGGGGCTGCGGGGCCCGGGCAGTGCCGCCCGGGGGCCGGAGGGAGCGCGGCCCCTCCGAGGCCCCCTGAGGCCCAGCCCCGCCGCGGCCGCGCCCTCGGGGCCCGGGCAGCGCTCCCGGGAGCGCCGGGCCTGCGGGCCTCACGGGTCACGCTCAGGGCCGCCCTCCTTTCATGGCCGCTCTGCCAGGCCCTGGAGACATTGTGTAGCTCGTTACAACACTGATGTTCCGTTGCAGGCT